ATTTTTACACATTTAAAAAGCTTGAATTTTTTCACAAATTTATATAAAAAAAAGTTTGTCCTAAAATAATTTGGTACAAAGTTAGCCTCTTTTTTTATTTAATTCATAGCACCTTTGTTCATAACAATTAAGAAATCTAATTAGCGCTATTTGAAAGAATATACATTATAGTTTTAAACTACTAAATTTTATAATTATTGCCCTTTAATGGAATGCTCCACAAAGCTTCAAAATGTATGTAAAATCTGTCGGCTTTGAAACTCTCGGGAGCTGAAGGGAGGGGGATGGCGCTGTTAACTGTATGTCTGTTCCTTTTGTATGTATTTCAACGTTTCTTTTTGAACTTGTATGTACTTTTTGCGTATATTACGAATATGCATTATTTCAATAAATAAATTGTCAAATAAACCACATAATTTGTTTAAAAACAATTTTTTTAAATTTTTTTAGTAGTATTTAAGTTAAGTTTGAATGTAAAACAGAAGTACTTGTCATTTCCTATATTTTGCGGAATAAGCCACAATTTAAGTTTATAATAAGTTTATTTTTGACGTTTCGATTTCTACTTCGGAAATCTTTCTCAGAATACAGAACATTAATAAATTAATCAAATTTTGTTTTTGGTTACTTGGTAGAAAATTTGGTCGGAAAATTTTTCTGATAGGTAACTCTTCTGGGTGATTGATTAGGGTGAGGAAGCTCAGTAGATCTGTTTTAGTAAACATTACAAAAAAAAGTTATTGACAAAAGTTGTAGACAGCTTTAAACTCGACATTTTAAAATTAGTTACAATCTTACAGGGTGTTCTATAAGATGGTGGCAGACCAAACTTATGTTTTTTAAATGAAACACCCTGTATTTTATTTTGAATTTGAAATCTGCTTCACTTCCACATCACAACAATGTAAAGTTTTATTATGTTATACCGGGTATTTAAAAAGTTATAACCAATATTACCTGAAAATCGTATCAAGTTTAACTCCCTGTATAATTAAAAAGGAGTATAGGTCCATTGATCTATTGCAACCATAGTTTTTTAATAATTGTTAAAAATTATACAACATATTCGTTTTCATAATATTCGTTAAATCAAATACATGGTAAGTCAAAATGCAAGTACATTATTTTCTTGGTAATTTTAAATAGAACACCCTGTATTTTATATCACAATCGAAAAGTACTAATATCGTACTTTAAATTTTATAGAATGCTCCCTATACATAAAGTTATTAGTTCTTTAGATATTTTTATTTTTCCATCAAAGTATAAATTTTGAAGATATTTTAACGTTTACCAATAATTATTGTGAGTTGACCATGATTGATTTGTCAGAAACTGACAGTTTGACATTGTTTATTAATTCAGTATTGGAGTACATCGTAAATTAGCAACAATTATTATTTAGCAATTCAATAATTTATTCAATTTAAATTAGCAATAATGAATTTTACTACTGATGAAATGATAGATAAATATGATCTGGATATTGGGGGAATGCAATAAAAATTCATTACTATCAGCTAGAATTTATCCTGAACGGTTTCCAGATAGGCGGCAACCTAGACAAGATACATTTGAAAAATTGAAAGATCGATTTAACCGCACTGGTTCAGTGAATTATGAAAAACACGAACGAAAAAAAACTAGTGTGGCAGAGGAAAACGAAATGAGTGTGTTGATGGCAGTTACAGAAAACCCACTCACAAGTATAAGGAGTATTTCCAATAAGCAAGAACTTAGTTACTACTCTGTTCAAAACATTCTATCTAAAAACAAGATGCACCCATATCATATTCAAAAGCACCAAGAATGAAATGATGATGATTTTCAGAAACGAATAGTATTTTGTAAATGGACCTTAAAAAAAATTAATGAACAGAGATTTTTTTGATTATATCATATTTGGTGATGAAGCTGCATTCCACTAAAACGGTTCTGTTAATAGGCATAAATAACTTTCACTACTATTCAACAAGTAATCCATACCAAATAGTAACACATAGTCAAACAAGATAATCTTTAAATGTGTGGGGAAGTATCGTGGGTAACCATGTAGTAGGACCATATTTGTTTAAATATAACGTAAATGGTAAGATTTATTTAGATTTTATCGTACATCAGTTACCGATATTATTAGAAGAGGTTCCACTTAATATACGTGAACAAATGTGGTTTCTACATGGAGGTGCTTCTGCGTACCACAACGAATTAGTACGTGGTGAACTTAATGATCAGTTTGGTGAAAGATGGATCTTAAGGGGTGGCCCAAGGTCACCAGAATTCAATAAAGTGGACTCATTTTTTTTGGGTTACATTAAGAACGAAGTATATAAAATACCTTCAATAACAAGGGATATAAAAAATAGAATCCGAATTGCATTTCAAAATATTTCTTTACAAATGCTTAGTAATGTAAGTAACTCTTTCAATGACCGCTTTCTAGTATGCATAGATGTTTTGGGAGGTCATTTTGAACACCTTACTTAAGTATGATTAGTTAAAATTACAGTTGTTTTTTATTTTTTTGTGTGTTGTTATTTGTTTTATTTTCTGTCGGTTATTTTTTATAAAGTTTATTTGAAACAAATTGTTTTCTTTTCTGTGTCGTGACCTCGTTACTGAATTAAAAAACAATCATGTCAAACGGTCAGTTTCTGACAAATCAATCATGGCCAACTCCCAATAATTATTGGTAAAAGTTCAAATATCTACCAAATTAATACTTATCTAGAAATTTGATAACTGTAGGTATAGGGAGTATTCCATAAAATGTAAAGTACGATATTAGTACTTTTCGATAGTGACTTAAAATACAGGGTGTTCTATTTAAAATTATCAAGAAAATACAAATGTACTTGCATTTTGACTTACCCTGTATTTAAATTAATGAATATTATGAAAACGAATATGTTTTACAATTTTTAACAATTATTAAAAAACTATGGTTGCAATAGATCAATGGTCCTATACTCCTTTTTAATGATACAGGGAGTTAAACTTGATACGATTTTCAGGTAATATTGGTTAGAACTTTTTAAATATCCGGTATAACATAATAAAACTTTACATTATTGTGATGTGGAAGTGAAGCAGATTTCAAATTTAAAATAAAATACAGGGTGTTTCATTTAAAAAAACATAAGTTTGGTCTGCCACAATCTTATAGAACACCCTGTAAGATTGTAACTAATTTTAAAATGTGGAGTTTAAAGCTGTCTACAATTTTTGTCAATAATTTTTTTTGTAAGTTTTACTATAACAGATCTACTGAATTTCCTCATACTAATCAATCACCCAACAGAATTATCAGAAAAATTTTCTACCAAGTAACCAAAAATAAAATTTGATTAATTTATTAATGTTCTGCATTCTGAGAAAGATTTCTGAAGTAGAAATCGAAACATCAAAAATAAACTTATTATAAACTTAAACTGTGGCTTATTCCCCAAAATATAGGAAATGACAAGTACTTCTGTTTTACATTCAAACTTAACTTAAATACTACTAAAAAAATAAAAAAAAATGTTTTTAAACACATTAGGTGGTTTATTTGACAATTTCTTTATTGAAATAATGCATATTCATAATGTCCGCAAAAAGTACATACAAGTTCAAAAGAAACGTTGAAATACATAAAAAAGGAACAGAGATACAGTTAACAGCTCCTTCCCCCTCCCTTCAGCTCCCGAGAGTTTTAAAGCCGACGGATTTTACATACATTTTGAAGCTTTGTGGAGGATTCGATTAAAGGGCAATAATTTTAAAATTTAGTAGTTTAAAACTATAATGTATATTCTTTCAAATAGCGCTAATTAGATTTCTTAATTGTTATAAACAAAGGTGCTATGAATTAAATAAAAAAAGAGGCTAACTTTGTACCAAATTGTTTTAGGACAAAATTTCTTTCATTTAAATTTGTGAATAAATTCAAGCTTTTTAAATATGTAAAAATAATATTTTTACAGTCAATAGTTAAAAAGTTATTCTAATTGTTTATAAGCAAAAAATCGACATGTTTTTGCAAAATTATTTTGCAATATTTAAAATTAATTTTCTTAATTTTTTTTAAT